TGTCCAAGCTGTCTTAAATTTCATGATATTTCTGAATAGATTGGTACATTGGAGATGAGTTTAAAACATTAGTTCTAGAAGCAGGCATGTAGAAACTCAAGTAAACTTTTAATCCAGCACGGGGGATTTTTAGATTGACGTAATTTAACAAATCAATACTGTCGACTGAGCCATTTAAAAGATTATAAAGTAGGAGTACCTGTTGGAAATTTCTGCGTATCACGAGCTCTGAAAGATTGAATCTAGATATTAGTAAAGCTTGGGGATATCCCCTTGCAGGGTATATACCATCTAAAACATAGGAAGCCGATTTCATGAATTTTCTTTGAACTTTTTCGAGTAAATCAGTATAAATGTTATGCACGGGATTCCAAACAACAGAACAGTATTCAAGTTTTGACCGTACAAAGCTAATATATAAAGTTTTTAAGGTGACTATGTCTCGGAATTCTTTACAGCTTCGAATAACAAACCCTAAGCTCTTGTTAGCAGCAGATAACATCGTTTAAATGTGTTTAACGAAAGATAGTTCAGGATCAAAATAAACTCCGAGATCTCTTATACATTCGGGTCAATTTAGAACAATGTTCTGTAGTTTGTAATTAAAAATTATAGGTGTTACTTTTTTAGTAAACGACATTACGGAACATTTCTCAGGATTTAGAGGGAGTGAATTATCGGGACACCACTTCGCAATGTCGGACAAACACTTTTGAAGTCGCAAGCAATGGTTAACAGAATTGATTTCAAGCAATAATTTTAGGTCGTCGGCATACATTAAAACTTTAATATGCTCAATATTAGCGACTATATCATTTATAAAAATTATAAATAAAAGAGGACCTAAAATTGATCCCTGTGGAACTGATGTTTGTTCGAAATTTTTTGACCTATAACCACGACATTGAACATATTGATGCCTACCCAACAAATACGAACCAATCAATTGAATGATTTGATCGCATAAACCAATGGAACTTAACTTGTGGAGCAAGATGGAATGATCAATTTTGTCGAAGGCCTTGGAGAAATCTGTGTATATTACATCAACTTGACTTCTTCTATCCAAGGCTTCCGAAATGAATTGCGTCGAACATACAAGGTTTGTAACTGTAGATCTATTTTTCATGAATCCATGTTGGTCACAGGATATAAGACGGGAAACATGATTGGAAATACGATCGTGAGTAATTATTTCGAATACTTTAGCAAAATTGCAAAGAATGCTTATGGGCCGATAATTACAAACATTATTTTTGCTACCTTTTTTATGTACCGGAGTAATTCTGAAAATTTTCCAGGCAGTAGGAAAAATACATGTTTTCAAAATTAAATCAAAAATATGTTTCAACGGAGTGGCCAAAATTAGTGCACAGTCTCTGACAAGAAACGAAGGAATAAGGTCAGTACCCATTGACATATTGGGCTTAAGCTTTTTTAGGGCTTTAATAACTTCATCTTGAGATACAGAATTAAAGTGAAGCAGAGGTAAACTAATGGTAGATTCGTGGATGAAGTGATTTATTTGAGTTGGCTTGGAGAAATTACTTGAAAAGTGATCTGCAAAAGCTTGAACAATTGCCTGTGGATCTTCTATACAGTCATTATAATATTCAACAGTAGTGGGTATGGAATAGGAAGAATTTTTAGAATTTATGTATGAGCAAAATTGTTTTGGATCATTTTTAATATTATTTTCAATTGACCTTAAATATGAGAAGTGAGCTATAGAAATTGTCTAGTTTAATTTGGTCTCGAAGGTTCTAAAATTTAGTAAATGCATCTATGGAATAAGCGGATTTGTAGGTTTTTCGGGCTTTTTCTTTTTCACGAATCATGTGTATTATATGACCATTAAACCAAGGAGGGTAGGTCCTAAGGTTAGGTTTTTTAGCAGGTATATACTTATTAAAAGTAATAAACAATTTATTGTTCAAAAGTTGAACACTTTCATCAACGCTGCTTACAGAATCAAGAAAACTCCAATTGATATTGAGTAGTGCGTTGTATAATTTTGGAAAATCTGCTTTATTGTAATTATACTGCACGTTGTCTGGGTTACACTAAGCACCCATGTTTTAAGAAATTTTTAATAATAACTTCTATCAGTGGTAAGTACATTTATTATTGTTTCTGAATAATTTACCTTTAGATAACTAATTTGAATAACCTTTCTATAGATTATTTTAATAAAAATAGTTACGGCCAACGATCGAATGTTGTGCCAAGTTCGATGATGTTTTTTCGTTTTAATTGTGACATACCTACTATCTCATTTTTGTTAGCTTAATAGCACCACCATAAAAAGTCATTTTTAAGAAACTGCTTATATATTTTTCTTAAATTGGCAGGCTTGGCGACTTTTTTCGAATGAAAATAGCCTCCAAATAAGCTATATGGTTGCAAGTATGAAGGTCGCAACCCGCCTTAGAAATTTCACCTTTACTATCAACAGCTGTTGTTTGACAGGTCGTTAGAGAATGTTTACAATTTATGGAATATGAAGAATGTTAGGAATTTTGACGTTAGAAATAATTGTTCACATAAGGAATGCATAGGCGGATTTTAAGAAAATTGTTATTAAAGTAGTTAGGATGAACAGAAATTTCTGAAAATCAATAGGGTTCTAAGTTAGAAGTAATTATTCAGGAAAATCAAAACCCCAAGTCAATCAGAGCTTTCGTTTTAGAGTTATCGTGCCGGCATACATACATACAGACGACCAGACGAAAATTTTTTTTTTTGATTTTCGGATTCACAATGATCAGAAACATGAAAAAAAGTTTTAAAAAATGGGGGTCAGAAAATTTTTTCGTCTGCACGAATGCAATACTGAGGCCCCATAGGAAGGCTTTACAATTCTGCATGTGAAGTCAAAATTTGATTAATTATAGTTATTATAACCAATTTATCAAGCAAGTAGTGTGTGTACACACTAGTTGATCAAAGGTTCAGATGAAACGAAAGGAAAACATAAAAGTGTGCAAGTATTAGGAATATCTTAGATATTCCTTGTCTTATATTTAATTAAATTTGTCATGCGCTTTCGGCAATTACGACATCATCAGGACTCTAAAAAGATGATTAGCAGTTACAGCGTACTATACAAAAAAAACAAGTCACAACTTTCTCGACAAAAAATTGAAAAAAGGGTAGTACACACACAAGCAGACTTAATTAGGAATAAAAATCACCGTTAAATTTAGAAAGTCCGAAGGGACATCAGAAAAAGTTTTACAAATTAACCTCAAAAGCGGTCAACCAATGAACGAAAAGTTTTTTGCCATTTGCTGTCTATTGGTAGAAATGAAGGCGTTATCATCTTTGTTGTTTTTTTCTTACAATTTGAATTCACTCCACTACCTAACCTCGCTGAGGAAGAATCCCGACATCTTATTTGATCTAGGTGGCCTAAGATTGTTGACCACTTGTTGGATTAGTTTTAAAAACTTTTTTCGATGTCCCTTCGTCCTGATGGGAAAACGTAAAGATAATTTTAAACTTTAAACATTTCTAATTTTAACGGTGATTTTTATTCCTAATTATTGTTTTGGTTTCACCATAACTAGTTTCGAACCTGTAGATTCTGTGTTTTGGTTTTTCTTGGGAATGGTTCCACAACCATTCTCGAACAGTAACTTCGGTTCTGGCCTAAAGCAAACACCGTTACAGAATTGTTATACTCGCGCTTACGCGTTTTTCAATTAATTTTGTTGATAGGATCCTGGCCATGTATTATGTTTGCATTTTTGCAACGAATTTTCAAATGGCGAATGAGCATGAGGGATTTGATTGGATGATGTTATAAGTTTGTTATGAAAATAGTATTTAATTTATCTACGTTTTACAATATTGCATGGCCTCTTCCTTAATTAGACATTAACCCTTTGTTGGTTCTTCTTTTTATTTATAAATTACTTTTTGACATGTTTGGTTGCGACTACAAATTAAATTGTTATATAACTGTTCATAATTAAGGACTATTGCACAATAGTTCTGCGCATGGTTCTAGAACAATTCTCGAACAAGAACCAAACAAACCTAATATAAGGCACGTTTTTCATTCCACCTCAACCACTGATAACCAATTTAATTTGGATTGATTTAGATACGCGTGCGACCTTCTGATCTATTCTGGTCCAGATTTTAGTTTTATTTCATTATTTATGTTAAATCGTTAAACGAGGTTGCATAAAATACGTAGGTATACATTAATTTTATCTTAAATTTGCAGCAATAATAGTTTTCAAATAATTCTAAAAATATTTTTATGACGGTACAAAAAAGTTTGATTATAATCACGTTGTTCTTGAATAATATTATATGAATAGCCTGACAAGGGTCTAGGGTTTGTTATATAAAAAAAGTATCATTTCAATCCATTTGTGGGACGGCAAACATCGTAATCACGTTAAATTAACATTACAGGGCAATAATCCTAATATCTGTCGCCGTATGTCTTGGAAGATGGACCAAAACTTCGTAATAAAAACCAACGAGGTGCCAGCCATCCATGCATAGGCGTAGGGTAAAAGAAAAGAAAATATTTTTATAACAATTGCGACAAAAGAGATGTAAACACAAAACAAGCCCAACAAAAAGTTTTAAACTCTTTTAAATAAATAATAGCGATATTATGGTCAGACATGTAAATATTAAAGATTTGAGCACTAAATGGAAATTTAAATTGGAGTTTAAAATTATTTAAGAAATTACGATTGTGGTCAAACGTTTTTAAAATCAAGATTTAAAGTTTAACAGGACCTGTATAGAGGCTAATTTATTAAAGAAATCTAGTACAGTTTTGGTCAAATTCTTCTTTTCTATTTGATTTTTCCACTTTTTAATGTTATGTTATGTTGTGTGTCGTGGCGTGGTGATATTATTATTCTAAAGAATTTGTTTTTTTCTCAAAAAACATGTCTATATAAATCGTTTGTTTAATAATAACTTTTGTATCACAGTATTTTTATTAATTTAAATATATATCTTGATTATAGTGCCATTTCCAAAGTGAAAAAACAACGGGGAGCAAATACTGCTATGGAGCAGTATGAAGAATACATAAAGTTTTTAGAAAATCATGAACTATTTAGAACTGGAACCATTAATCCCGAAAATTATATGAAACAAAAGTGGGAAGAATTGACCATTGAATTAAACTCTAAACCAAAGGATCCACAATTAACTACTGATAAATGGATTCAAGTAAATTTTTATATATTTTGTTCTTTCATTTTTATTTCGTTTTAATTATTTCAGAGATTCTCTGATTGAAAACAGCACTAGATTCAAATAACGAAAATATCTGGTAAATAAAAATAAAACGGGAGGACGACAAGAAGTGAGGTCTTGAGGAACGAGCAAATAATACTTGGGGAAAAGTTGTTGTTGAAGGTAGTTCTCTTGTGCCAGAATTGTATGGTGATATAATTCAAAACACTGCAACACACTCATTTCCTGAAAATATATTGGAAGACTTCGACACTAAAAATGTAGAAATTCTATTAGAAAACAATGTCCAACAACCAATAATTGTACCTGGGATATCAAGAATCAAGAGACCTCTACAAAAACGTAGAGAAATTAATGGAAAGCGTCCAAGACTTTTAAATAATCTAACGAAAGCTTTATTAGAGCAACTCAAATAAAATATCGTTCCCAAAGAAAAATTGGTGGATGCTTTAAAAGAACTGGCCGATTCTCAAAAAGAATTATTAAAATTCAAGGTTGCTGCATTTAAATATAAAAATATGGATTTTCAATTTGAATTTAAATACAAACAGTTGTAGTAAATAAATTATAAAAGGAAAGATTTTTAAAATAAAATTTTTTCTCATATTTTTTTTAATTTAAAACATTTTGATAAGTTTGTACAATATAAACTGCTCTTGCTGCTTGCCCTTGATGAGCTGCTATATTATCGAAATTATTTCCTTGTTCATAATCGTCAACTTCTTCTAAATATTCTTCATTTCCCATATCCATATTTTCTTTCCTTGACATATCATGTAATATCCCACAAGAATATATAATGAATGCAGCCGTTGTAGGATCATATTGCAGTACAAGAAATTTGGACAGGCATCTAAATTTTGCTTTTAATATACCATTTGTGCGCTCCACTACATTCCGAGAACTTTTCAATGCCCGATTGTATTGGCCTTCTGGAGTATCATCATCTGCATTTTCAAAAGGAGTTAATAACCATGGTTCAACACCATAACCACTGTCTCCATTAAAAAAATGGTTCATTTGTCCTTCTTCAAACTGTTCTGCTAAAATTTGTCTAACATTTGATGTTTACCAGATAGCCGCATCATGAACAGAACCAGGAAATCTAGCATTTAGTGCAGTAATGTAGCAATTTGAATCACAAATTAACATTACATTAATAGAGTGTCTTCTTTTTCTGTTGATATATAAATGAAGTTGGTGTTCTTGATCTGTACCAGGAGGAGCTATAATTTCAACATGAGTGTCATCGATGGCACCGATGATTCCTCGCATACCCCATTTGCTATAAAATCCTTCTTGAACAGCATTTTGTTCTTCCAGATTTGTAGGAAATTTAATCCAGTTCCGTGCTAGGTGAAGAGTTATTAAACGACTTACTTCATTAATGACCAAACCTATAGATGTTTGACTCATACAAGTAAATAAAGAATTATCGATTTCCTTCTGATCAGATCCATTACCAAAGAAGTTTATCGTCGCTAAAACTTTTAAATAGAGTGGAATTCAATCCCAGGGCTTACTGGAATAACATGATAAGCCACAACATTAGTTTATTAAGGAAGCACGTCTTCAAAGGTTAAAATAACTTCTATAACTACCACAACTATGATATAATTGCAATAATTTGATTTCTTGGCTAATTATGGTATTTGTTGGAAAAATTTCCATTTGGTTTAAGCTTTGTTAACCTTATATTTTATTGTCGTGAAGTAAAATGCCTTTATTTTAGAAAGTATGGCTTATCACGTTTTTACAATAAGCCCTTCCAATTGTATTAATAAGAATTTTATGAAAGACCCCGCACATTATCTAGATCAACTTTACAGTGTAATCTTTTATTCTACCTCCCTCTATATGAAATCCTTCACCGTATCTAGCCAAAGTACAAAGTACAAGTAGCTATAGTTTCTACAACTTATGAAGTCTTGAACATTCCACTACGCTGAACTTGCAGAAACTATGTAATATTTTAACGGAATATCAAATATGCATGTCGTTTCGTCTGGAATAATGTGGCAGCGCACGCCTATGCATTAAGTTGGGCGGGTAGATGTGTTCTCTAGGTCACTCCAAATGGAAAATCGATTCTTTAGAAGACACACTCTTTCCTTTTCCTATCTCCACTCACCTAAAATCTAATTTATGGCAAGGAAAACTCATCGCCAACGATGCGAACGAATGTTAAAGAAGAACATTATAATTTAAAATTTTCGATTTTGTATATTTCTCGGGTCGATCAATTTAATATCGAATAAGGTGTTAGGTTGGCAGGAACGTTTTCATTTAAAATTACAGAAAATTCCCCTTTGATTTGTCTGATTTGTGGATTTACTGAAGGAAAAACTTCGCAATTCAATTTATCGTGCAATTTTATATTTAAAGATATTTTCCATCTCTAATATACAGGGTGTCTGTAAAAGGTCTTTACAAAAACATACCACATATTCCTTAGATCAAAATAAGTCGATTTAAATAAAATTACCTTAGTACAAAGTTGCTTCGTTTGGGCTCCAGAGGGCCTTGAATTTACAATTTTTAAATCGTTTTTCCCATATAAATTTAAAACGGCATATGCGATTTTGCTGAAATTTGGTATATTGGTAGAGTTTTATGTGGCAAAAAAAATGATATTAAAATTTTGTCCGATAATAATACATAGGCGTAGAACTTGATTTTTTAAATAATTGCCCCTTTAAAAATTTTACGCCAATGGAAGAAAAGGAGTTTGAGTATGAAATTTAGATTGCGCAACTTATTTACTTTAAAAAAGGTACTCTTGATAAGACTCGATTACTCTCATGGTTTTGACAAAATTTGCATTTTAGTAATTTTAGAACATAAACAATAATTATTAAAATATAAACTTTGTCAAAACCATGAGAGTAAATCGAGTGTTATCAAGGGTACTTTTTTGTAGTAAATGAGTACCCAATCCAAATTTCATACTCAAACCCCTTTTCTGCCATTGGCGTAGAATTTTTAAAGGTGCAATTATTTAAAAAATCAAGTTATACGCCTATGTATTATTATCGGACAAAATTTTATACGATGAAAAACAAAAAAAATGTACTTTTTTCATATCTTCTTCAACACCTCTAATCGAGACTTTTAACAAAAATACTCGATTCTTGCCATGTACGATTTTTTGAGGAATATTAATTATTTGCCTGCAATACGTATACAAAAACATTTATTGTTGGTTTCCATAGTTTTATCTAAATAAAAATATTGTCAAGTTTTAACACCTAATCTCTTGTTAACGATTGAAAGTGTTCTATCTGACTCAATTATTAAAAAAACAAATGCGTGGTTTATTAATATGGCTGTACAATATACCAATGCAGAATATACCGATATGTTACTGACATTAGGATTTTGTGAAGGAAATGCTCGAGAGAGTACTCTGAAAGTTTCCAAATCCTCATGTACCTAGCCACCCAACTTTTGCTGCTGTTGAGAGACGTCTTCGGGAGACCGGTTCCTCTGCTCCCAACACTGTTGATAATGGAAGAGAAGGTTTTGTTAGGATTCCTGTAGTTGAAGAAGACATTTTAGAACGTGATGAAGAAGATCCAGAATTAAGCACCAGACGAATTGGAAGGGAACTAGGAGTAAGTAAAGATGTCGTTCATAAAGTGCTTGGAGAACAATTGCTATATCCATACCATAAGAAGCCAGTACAAGAATTATTAGTCCATAATCCTCAAATTCGTTTGGGTTTTTGTCGATTTGTTAATATGCAAAGAGAAAGAGATCCAAACTTTGTCAAGAAGGTTCTCTTTACCGATGAAGCGGGTTTTACAAGAAGAGGTATAACTAATACCCATAATGAACATGTTTATGCCGTTGAAAATCCGCATGCAATAAAGGTAAACCATTTTCAGCACGAATTCAAAATTAATGTGTGGGCTGGAATAATTGGTAATTTCATTGTTGGTCCTGTCATACTTCCACGAAGATTAACTGGAGAAAATTATTTGGATTTTCTACAAAATACGTTGCCAGAATTGTTAGAAGATTTACCTCTCTAACTTCGGAGAGATATGTGGTTTATGCAAGATGGAGCTCCACCACATTTTTCTTTAAACGTTAGAAACCACTTGAATGAACAATATCCACACAAATGGATAGGCAGAGGTAATGACGCACCTGTAAACTGGCCACCACGTTCCCCAGACCTAACACCGATGGATTACTTTTTATGGGGACATCTGAAATCCACAGTTTACAGGAAACCTGTAGAAAATGAGGAACAACTCTGGCAACGTATTCAAGATGCAATAAACAATCTTAGAGGTGATGAAAAAGTTATGGAAAGGATACATTTTAATTTTCTTCGACGTATAAATCTTTGTATGCGTGAAAATGGTGAACATTTTGAACAATTTTTGTAAAATATCTATTTTGATTATGTTGTAAATAAATATTTTTGTGAAACCTATACACTCTAAATTATTAAAACAGAAATTTAGCGAAAACCATGAGAGTAATCCGAGTCTTATCAAGAGTACCTTTTTTAAAGTAAATGAGTTGCGCAATCTAAATTTCATACTCAAACTCCTTTTCTTCCATTGGCGTAGAATTTTTAAAGGTGCAATTATTTAAAAAATAATGTTCTACGCCTATGTATTATTATCGGACAAAATTTTAAAACCATTTTTTTTGCCACATAAAACTCTACCAATATACCAAATTTCAGCAAAATCGCATATACCGTTTTAAATTTATATGGGAAAAACGATTTTAAAATTGTAACTTCAAGGCCCTCTGGAGCTCAAACGAAGCAACTTTGTACTAAGGTAATTTTACTTAAATCGACTTATTTTGGTCTAAGGAATATGTGGTATGTTTTCGTAAAGACCTTTTACGGACACCCTGTATTTATTTTTTAAACTTTTTGTTCAGGTATCTTTAGGTCAGTGTTTCTGAAACTTTTTTGGCGACGGAACGACTTTGAAAAGCGAAATATATGACGGAGCCCTAAAATAGATTTTTTAAACTTTATATTGGTTTAGATAGGTTTTATTATTCTGCAACCC